TCTCTTTTCCTTGGATTCCTGCTGAGGCAGTCTCCCACAGCCCAAGCACACCATACATTTCTCAGACAGGCAGACTCGTAAAAAGACAAAAAGGCACTGCTTCAAATCCACACTTTAATGAGTGAAAACGGAAGTAATGACATGCAGGGAATCATTCTTCTTCTCTCTGTCTTGCAAATTGACACCAATGACCCGTGGCCGGCCCCCGGTTGTGACACGTTGCGTAATGCCAAATGAAAACTTTTCCCGGGATTTTCCCCCAGGAGGAGATTATTAGGAATGATGACACTTGAACAATAGCTGGATCAGAGCGCTCGACTTTGTCATCGTGAGTGAATCCTATTACGTGACAGCATAATGGCCGTCTGTGAAAACAGAAACAGAATGAGTGTCAACAAGGCGTCTTTTCAGCGCCGAGAAACAAAGCTCATTCGAGGCGTCTCGCCACCCGAGCCGTCCCTTTGTGCGCGGCGTACGAGCCTCAATTGTTTTCTCATCGCCGAGTAAATGCCCGGCTTAATGTGGTGCCGCAGCTCGGGAGAAATGATACCTCCGGACATTAACAGTACGTTCATTTCTGCTGTTTGCATAATGCACAAGGTTACATTTGGGCTAAATGACAGCATGGACATGTACAACTTTCTAATGCTTTGTCATTCCACATGCAGTGAACTGGTTCCAGGTTATAAACGCTTCTGGCTATCAGGAGAGTATGGAGAACATCTTGATGGGATGAAGATGCTACTTTGGCATCAAACAAAGGCGAGGCTGTTTCACTTAACTGCAGGCCTCCTTTGCGCCACAGACAGCTAGAAATGTGGGTAATAAACTGATGAATGGCAGCTTGCCATCCGCTCTGTGTGTGTTTGTCTGAATTTGGAGCCTCAAAAGGCCTGAGAGAATCGCTTTTGTCTTCTATGAAGACGACAATGGCTGAAATAAATATGCTGTAAGGATACATTTTGATTTATTTGGCCATGCTGGATTGACATGCATGTACATTTATGTTTAATTTCTAACCCCCCACCGCATCATCAGCAGTCCACCTAAGTGTCAGGGGTAGGGTTTGAGCCCAGGGTTTGTGGGGGTGGTGGTAAAGTAACCGTAAACCTACCCCTGACCCTAGATGGTTACCGGTGACCTTCTGGATGTTAAAGAGGTGAACGAAGAATTATTGGAAAAACAACTTCCCCTAAAAGACACTTCTCTCGAAATGAAAAACGAAAAGCTAAGAACATATTCTTCTTCCTTTTCACAAGACTTAATGCCCTTAACTGGTCAGAGCAAACTGCTGAATGAAACAATGTAGCTGGTGTTTCAGAATCATCTGTATCTTATCATCGGAAAGAGAGAGAAAAAATCCCTTAAACAGAAAAATGTGGAGAGCCAGACCTCTCTTTCAAAGAGCCTCCAGAGCAGCCTGTTGTCTTTAAGGAAGGAGAGAGGGAGGGAGACTGCTTTCAGCGGCCCCGGGCCCGGGGACTGGTTCTCATCATTTTGACAATAAAACTCAAGGAACTGACACAAAGCGACATTTCATTGAAAAAAAATAGCAGAAGGGGGCCGGTAGAGTTCCGCTGGTCTGCGCTGGATTGTCCACCCCTCCCTCTTATCCGACTGCCAAAGAGGAGCGGAGCGGTGATATTTTTTTTATTATTATTATTTTTAAGGAGAGCGTTTGGAAAAGCTTTCTGGTGGTTTAATTCCCCTCCAGCACCCTGGGAGGGAGGAGGTGAAATGGTTTAAAGATGAATGAGTGATTGTGCTTTAAATTCCCAGAGGTTTGTTTTAATAGTGTCGAGTTTGTATGGCAGCGTTTTGTTGCTTCTTTTCAAACAGCTAAATACTGAATGACTGTGCCATGTGGAAAACAATACCTGACTTTAGGCACTTGCTGTTACTTTTGTGGAGTACATAAAGAGCAGGAGCAGATATAAGAAAAGTCAGCCGGCATAGTCTTTTTGGAACAATCGTGCCCACTCGGGACAGCAAAGGAATAGCGATAGCCGATAACAGTGCATGCTTCAGTCACCATGGCTCAAAGGCTCTGAACATGTTGCTTTGTATATATTTACACATCTGTACATTTTATACACTTTTCTACTTATATATATGTGTGGGGGTGAGAAAGTCTGTCTCATCAGAAAATACAGCAAAATGTCCTCTCACACATCAGCGCTGTTGGAGACCTGTGATAACCTGGGGTCAGAGTCCATTTCGAAGCGGTAATGGTAGCCTTCCCACACCTCCCTGCAGGCGTCTCGCATGTCATAGATTCGCTTCTTGATGCCTTTGCGGTTGAGGTAGAGTACAAAGAGGAAGATGAGGCCGATAAAGCCCAGGACTATACCCAAGAAGACATAAGAGGTCTGCAGAGCGAGATCTGCGGCAGCATCTCTCTCGTGGCATCCCAGAGTCATCGTCCCCACGGCAAGCAAGGACGTGTTTCTCATGCTGGCCGGGAAGACGCACGCGAGGCTCTCGACGTCTCTGATGCGATTCTGTGACCTGTTGAGCCACTGAGCAAAAGATTCAATTCCACATGTGCACGTGAACGGGTTCTCTCCCAGCAGGAGAGCAGCTCTGGGCAGGGAGTCCAGCTCTTGGAGGCCCTCTTCTGACAGAGTCTTGAGGGCATTGAGCGTCAGGTCGAGCACCTCCAGCTGCTCTAAACCCGAAAGGGTGGAGTTGTGGATGGCCACCAGGGAGTTGTTGGAAAGCCGGAGCATCCGCAAGCTGCTCAGGTAGGAGAAAATGCGCGGGGGCAAAAAGATGAGACTGTTGTCCGACAGGTCCAGTGCTCTCAGGGTCTCCAGGGAGCTCCAGTGGAAAGCCGTGCTCAAGCTGGTCACTGCAGAGTGGTTGTAGAGGGCTCGGCTCAGGTTGAGCTCCCGCAGAGACTGGTTCAGGACGGCAAAGGCCTCAGGATGAATAACAGCCAGCTGGTTGTTGCTCAGATCCAGAGAGCGAAGCCTGTGCAGTCCTTTGAAGGTGAGGGATTCCACCTCAGAAATTCTGGATTTGAAGATGACACATCATTAGCAATCACCATCAAGACTGAGAGAATGAAAGCACATTTACCTCGAATCAAACCTGAAAGAAAACTGAACGTGATCATTTGAACACAGTCTACTACTATGCACACGGGTAACAGAACTTAAGCCAATGGATCGGTGCAGTTCAAGAACAATGGGGGACATGTGAAGAATGAGAAAACAGAGTTTTGTCACAGTTTCAGTCCTTCGGAGCTTTGCATTAGCACAATAACAAAGAGCCCCAGAGATCAGGGAGAGTTTCTTACCTGTTATTGCTCAGAGATAGGTTGGTAACATTCTCCAACCCTTTGAAAGACTCCGGACCGATCCGGCTGATCTGATTCCCCGTTATAAACAGATTCCTCGTGTATCCCGGGATCCCAGCCGGGATACTCTGCAGGTCTTTGGAGACACACTTCACGGTGTGAGCCGCCTCTGAGCACTCGCAGCGAGGAGGGCAAGACGCGTATACGGAGGCGAGGAGCGCGCAGAAAACAATTCCCTGCGTCAAATCCAGCATGTTGGAAAGGAAAACAAAAAAGTGTCCGGTTAGAGAGCGGCGGCAAGAAACAGCGACAAAGAATACACGCACACGGGGAGAAACGATCAGCTCCACCGAAACATCATGATCACGAGCTGTCCCGGCCGGGAATGCGCCTTTAACTTTGGATCTCTGCAGAAAGTGTGGCCGGGAGGCTGGCTCTGATTTCCATGAGAACAAAAGTGAGGGTCGTGCAGATCAGAGGGGGTGTTTGATCCTTCGGGCGTTGCTTCTGCTCCAGCAATGAAGTTAAAAGGACCATCGAGGAGTGTAGTGATCTGCGGGGAGGGGCTTCTCTCCGCCCGGATCTACGAGATCTTCCCTCAGCCCTGAGCAGAGAGCGCAGGCATGAAGGATGGATGAGGAGGAGAAAGTGGCCGGGATTTCAGCGCTCGCTCTCTCTCCCATTTTTTCTGCACTCAAATATAAATGTGAATGTAATGAATTCTGGACTTTAACAGTTTTATTTCAGAACAAAGAATGGGCAAACATACTCGTCATTCCCAGCTCCCCAGGTGGTGTGCGCTAAATGTGGGGAGGAGTGTTTGGGGGCCAACCTTCAGCCTTTGATCCCCCCTTTTCTTTAACACCACGATGATCTACTAGATAATGAGACTTTTGGCCACTTGGCAGCTGAGTATGAGAGCTGCGAGGACTTCCTCTTCTTTATAAATTTATTCCGACAACTTCCAATAACTACTACCTGAATGACTTCCGAGAGTATTTAAAGACGAGCAAGGCTCTCGCATATCATGACTCAGTCTTAAAGCATCATCCCTCCTGCTGACAGCCCTGATGAAACACAGCAGTCACAACTGAATGATGCGAATCAAGCGAGAAAAAGCAGAGCCACAAATCTAAATAACTTTATACGCATTAAGCTGGAAGTCGGACACATTCAGAGCGCATCTGTATGATCTGCAGCACAGAAGATATGTTGGGATTAGAGAAACAAAGGAGGGTTTTTGACATTGCAGACTGGTATAAGTATACATGGATGGTGACGCTAATAATAGCATCCCAACTGTCTTTTGTGAGCGGTCTGAATCGCTGTGGCCACAGGTCTCCGCATTCCAGGACCCGGCTCCTGGATACAACAAGGCACCGCAGGAGGCAACATCTAAAACCATTCACATCATCCCCACTCAGTGTGGCATTCCCGCACATGGCCGCCCTTAAATAGGCCCAAAGTACTGCTGATCTTCACAATCTCTCTTTCAGAAATATACCTTCATATTTATGTGTTACAGGCGGCAATGTTGTGAGGCATGCCGGCTGCTCTCAAAAGGACCGTTCATTCCTCCACTGCCTTTTATGCCTCAAAGTGCGCTAAATGAGCTGCTTCATTAAGGACAGGTTTCACATTCAAAGACACCGTTTGCCGTCCGTTTTCTGACATTTAGCGCAATTACAGAACACCAAAGGGACTTTCACTTTACTCTTTGTTTCTACTGGGATTTTCCACAGACAGGTCCACCAAGTCTGCACCTTAAATATCACTGCAGTTTAGGCATAATGAGCACATTTCCACGTTTTCTTTAAAGGCATGCTCCTTCTTGGACCCAGCAGTGTAGTCTGCTCAGCTCAGTCATTTAAAAGAAATAGTTGACATCTTAGGGCATACATATGCATTTTTAAAGGGCTACTGACCTATTCTACCACTGCAATAAATGTCATTTTATGATGCAAAAACACCTTTCATTTAAATTTATCTCCACAAAAGGCCTCATGTAGGTTACAACTACACGTCTCATGTCCAAGTTTGCTGCGTTAATTGTCTTATTGATCATATTAGCTTTTGCGCTATAAATGGTTCTGGTCTTTGCATGCTCACTCAGGTTATTCATCAGAATTATTTTTTCCTAAGAAATAAGAGCCATGTTTATGATGATTTCCAAGCTAGCAGAGATATAATTCACTGCTGCTGCCTCTTCAGTTCCGGCGAGGCATCAGTTTCCCAGACTTGGTGCACAAGTGTTCCCGTTGCTCAGTCGTGCACTGGTGTCTCCTTCTCTTTTAACTCCAGTTACAGGCAGTTTGTTCTGTTCTGTCAAAGGGAGCAATGCACATTTGAAATCAACCATTTAAGACATGAAACTCCCCTCAGAACAAAAATACTTTACCAGATTTGATTTTTTTTTTTTTTAAACTTTGAGCTCCCAAAGCTGACAATCCAGATCCCAGCTAGTTAAAGTACTCGCTCTTTGATCATCATAGCAGTTTTTCAGCTATGCAAATTAATAACCAAAATAATCTAATTATCTACAAATATTAGAAAATAGTGTGCTATGCTTACACTGATACTTCAAGGAATCACTGATGATTTTAATCAATTTCATGTTACAATAGTCTTAAAAAGCAGCTTCCCTTTTCTCCCTGTGGTGTTGTTACATCTACCTGGTTGAGAAGGCAACTCATTTATACTAAAGGCTACTGCAGATGGCTGGGTGCGATTCTACCCTAGAACATTTTTTTTCTTGTATCTTTAAAGTATTACTAAATATAATGTTTTTATATTTTATAGAGAGCTGCCAACCTAGTTGGGATCCAGATTGGCCATTCAACACAAACAGCAGGTCTGGTACAATCTAATATTTATTATTTTCACTCAATTTACCAGTGAATACAGAACATTTTAAAGAGATTAAGGGAAAGACTGAGTAATAATATAGAATCATTACTAGGCAGTTTGCTGCAATGATATGCACCGATTAATAATCAAGAAGCGATCGCTATGAGCCAACCACGAACATCCCTCTCCACAGTTCACTCTCGCATGCATGCAATACACACATGCTGGCATGCAAGTGCATGCTCTCTCTAGTTGCAGAACACGCACAAACACACACACTCATCCAGGCACAGGTCTGCCTCACTGCCAAGCAGACATTACAAGTACAGTAAGAGGGCATCAATCTGAAGAGTGATCAAGTTAGCAAAGTATATAAAGAGACCTGATGTACAGTCTGATGTGAAGTATTTACAGGCAACATGGGTGAAACACAGAACTAGAGGCCACAGAAATTCTGCTTCAACAGGAGCCTGAAAATGTGTTAGCCCTGGAGTTATACAGAAAACCCTTTAAGCTCACACTTAAATGACATCTACTTTGATTATTGCAGATGTTGGTCGTATACATCAAAGCTTTGCGAAACAGTGCTGACATTTCACAATGACCTTCCAATCTGATCTGCAGAGGTGAAAAACAGCAGGAGCGAGCAACGCTGGTCAGGCGCCGAGGTGGAAACGGGGGATTTCAACAGGGGTCGGTGAGCGTGAAAAAACCTGAGGATCCTGGCTACCTGCTGCTTCTGGCAGCACGCAGACAAAGAGAGGGCTCAACCTTTTTTCCCTGTTTGATTGCAAACAATGAGGGATTTGAAGCCGTTCACGACAGCCATGGCAACGGATTTTGAGTGCCAACCATCATGTGCATTTCTTTTTTAGAAGGAGGAGTCATAAATGACCATAAAGCTGAAAATGCAAAGAGAGGTCGTTTCGAGGCACTGACTCTGGCTTTTCTCGTAAAAGTCGAACGCAGCAAGGGACAACAAACGAAATCGCAGCAGGTTTCATACCTCTGACATCAGCTGGCTTTTCATCAACACCTTTAGAGTCACAGACAAACTGTTCCACTACTGAGAGACTAAGATATGGAAGGACACAGTCTGTGCTGGTCAACAAAAAGGCTCATCTATTCTCTAATTTTCTACCACAGCCATATTCATTGAGGTTGCTACAATTGTTGCACTGATAGATAACAGTATCATGAGGTGATATGTGTAATGCATGTCCAACAGATCTGAGAAAATATTTCCCTTTTGAAGATGCAAACTCTTTGATATCCTACAGAGTAAGAAAATGCACAAAACAAACTGCTTTGTGTATTAGGTAGACGTTGCAGTGCTGTGGAAGAGCTACGTTAGGTCAAGCATGAGATGCAAGATTCCTGCAGAAAGGCAGCTAACTGAACTAACATGTTGGTGCGCCCCGCTATAAATTTGGCATCCTGGAAGCACTGAATCATGGATTACAATCCCAATCCGAGTAAAATCTGAAAGCAAGCATGGATGTGTTTCCCTCAAAGAGTTCAACAATGTAGGTACTTCTTTTCAACTGTTTACTGTTACACTTTGCAGGCGGCAATGGCTTAAAACCGCCAGTCACACTTTAATATTCAGAATCCAATAAATGCTTTTGTGTAGTCCTGGTCATTGCAGGCGATTATAAATGGACTTCCATCACTGGGACATTCTAGCATCCACACGGCAGTAAAGCCAGTGATCATGCTCGAGCCAGCAATCAGGCATGTCCTAAACAATCCTGTCCATCAATCTTCTCTCAGAGGTGAGAGTCTTTGTTACTGGTTTCCCCTCTCCTGTGTTGTTCAAAAGGTCAGCGCCACCTCTGACCCACGAGGGGGTTTCCACCATGTCCCTAGACTTGCTCCCAGGTCACCGGAGGTTGAGGGCCAGGGCACTGTAAGGACGATGCCCATGAGCATCAGAAAAGGCAGCCAGGTCTTCAGAAGCCTGCACAGCTGGAGAGAGATGACAGGAAAACCAAGGTGAGGAAACAAGCATGCGGTGATGTACACAAATACAAATCGCGGGAATGAGCTCTTATTTTTATGAGCCCCTCCATCCCAACCACAGCCCTTATAATGACCTGTCTTGTAGCACCTTGGTTCCTGGAGGAACGTTGTTTCGCCTCACTGTGTATTTTTAAACTGTATATGGTTGAAGTGACAATAAAGTTGAACTTGAACTTGAACCAGCAGAAGACAAGGGACATGGCATCTTCAACCTTGTTCTTCCTGTAGCTATGGCAACAATCAGTGTAGATGATAGACACGTCTTTTTTTTTTTTTTAACCCTGCTGAGAGGCAAAACAAGCAGCTGTTGTGGAAAGCTAAAAAACTAAGAAAAATACGTTAATTAGAGCACAGACATCGCACACACTGGTGTCTGGACTTTTGGGATAAACAAGCAAAATGGAAAGTAACTGATGCCAGCCTCACAAGACATCTCTAAATGTTCTAGAAAGCAAGGGTTGCATGTACGCTGTGTCGGAGCAAAGTAGCAAATGTTCAGTTGATCACAGGGACGTTTAACGACATTGTATACACACTGTTATTAACCTCTGTCTCTCTTCCACAGCATGTCTTCTATCCTGTCTTCCTTCTCTCGCCCCAACCAGTCGCGGAAGATGGCCCTCTCCGTGAGCCTGGTTCTGCAGGAGGTTTCTTCCTGTTAACAGGGAGTTTTTCCTTCCCACTGTTGTCAGAGTGCTTGCTCACAGGGGGTCATATGATTGTTGGGTTTTTCTCTGTATGTTTTATTGTAGGGTCTACCTTACATATACAGCGCCTTGAAGCGACTGTTGTTCTGATTTGGCGCTATATAAATAAAATTCAACTCTTAATCAACTTGAGAGGAAAGAAGGTCGATGATGTTAGCGATGCTTATGTTAAGCCGCACTCAGCAAACTTAAATTGTGTGTGTGTACGCACACTAGTATATATATAGCACAAAGGGCTACACGTTTCTGTGGCATCTGTGTTAAGACTAGCGGAATAGCATGATTTTTTTCTTGAATTTAATCGACTAGTAAAGCAGTCACAAGAAATATCCTTAGATTAAATAAGACTAAATATTGAGGCTGCTTTGCATAAGTAAGTAAGAGTGATTAAGTTATACTAAACAACCCTTTAAAATTTTAACGATCAAGCAGGTAGTCAGAGCACATTTTCAATTAAGAATAATTTAAAAAAAAACAAAAAAAAAACTGAGTGACTGCGACAACTTCAGAGGTCTCGCTTCCCGATACTTTCTGACAATTACTGCAGTTCTGCTGGGATGTGTAGTTTTTTTTATTGTCATGCTATAATTTAAAGACATTCCAGTAATGTCCTATATACACTCTTATTATTTCCCAAGAATCAGGTCTCTCTCTCTTGTCCTGAGACACAACAGGTTCAAGGCATACCTGTGAAATTATGTCCGAACCCTGGGATTCCACAGAGAAACCTCATTCACAGGCTTCAGCCCTACTTCTTAGGCAGGCTTTGAAGAGAGCAGCTGTTGAGTACAGGGCTTGCACTGTATCACCTCCTTCTAAGGTAGACAGCCTTCAGATATCTCGAGAATAAGGATGGTAGTCACTAATACTATGCGCATTCCTCTGAAAGTAGTTCACTTCATTGCTCCCCGGAAGATGAATTTTTTTTAAAAGGATACCGTTAGTCTGTTCATGCTTATCTGGAGCAAATGAAACATTGAGTAAAACATCACTAGATCATCGTAACTGAGGTTAGATTTTGATAGAAAATTCATGTGATTAATAATTGTGTTTGTTTTTTTAGCAACAGTCTACAGTTGAGTGCCACAAGATGTTTTAAAAAAAGAAAAGAAAAAACCATGACCTGAGCCTCTACATGGGTTTGTAAGCTTCCCCTGAAATCTTTATACTTCGTCAGGAAAAGAGGAAACCGGTGAAGTGATTTATTGAACCACAGAAACATGCACGGAAATAGAGTCCATAAAGCAAAATAAAAAGTTTGTGTACAATTCTAACAAGCTTGAGAAAAAAAAAAAAGAAAAAAAATATCAATCTTTGGTATGACAAAGTGAAGCTTTTGAGCAAAATCATTGATCGGGCATGAGCTGGGGACTGGCTGCTGTTAGTTAGGATTACTCCAATTTCTCTCCCTTCTCTGCTCTCTGTTTCACTGTATGTGCATCTCATCCCAAAGAAAATATAGAGCACATAAGAGAAAAACAGAGCTTGTTGCCATAGCAAACCGGAAATGCCTCCAGACTGATCTTAGTTTTTCTTCATGCACTGTTACGTTTGGTTCCAGTAAGCCAGGGAATTGCTGCTGACGTGTGGTGCAGTACACGCAGAACAATGCAGAATTGAAAGGAATGGATCCACTATCCAGCCTAGCTATTTGAATTCAGTACTGAAACAATATCAGATATACACCAGAGTACGTCATCAATAATTTCCTGTTGCAATGTTTGCCCACTAAAACTCCACATCAACTGTTTTTCTATCTTTTTCAGTCTCTCAGACACGCTGAGCTTTTCTTACCTCACATGCTTTCCGTGGATGAGAGCGAGGAGGCAGAGGTTGATCATGTTCCACGAGGTGCTGTTTTCATATCGCATCAGATTCAGAGCCATTGCGACATGCGAGTGGCAGTTATCACAGCATAGGTTGTGCTTTGGAGAAGACAACATTATCAAGAATCATTCCCACTATTTCTTCACTTCACAGTTGAGGCAAAGTCATTCACACAACACCACATATTTACCATCCTGTGTTTATACTCCTCTGAAGCGTCATGCACGGCTGTGTCCCAGGCATTGGAGCCGCTGGCGTAAACCTTGCTTACATCAAGCATCCAGTATCTGGATTTAAGGAGGAAAACAAACTTTATTGTTGTGTATGACAGATGTAAAGAGACAAAAAAAAAAAAAAAAAAAATACGATATTTATTTACTTACTTTGTTGGTTGTCCAAAAGCCATGTTGTCCTCCTGCAAAAGATGAAATATTTCTTTAAGTTACCTGTGCTCACTGAAAGCTGTTTTATGTTGTTTGGGGTTTTTCTTTTGGGTGGGGGTTACATCAAAGCACTAAACAAAGACACCACCATTAGGGCAAAACTTGTTCAGCTATGTAAGGTTGAATAAGAGACATTTTCAGCACCCTAATAGCCGGAATATGTAGTTTAGCATCAATTTAGGAAATGGGTCTAACATCCTGTTTGTTAGGATTCACTATTGTGTTTGCGTATACAAGTCAAAATGGATCCAAGCTGCAAGCTCTCTTTACTCTTTCTTCTATTACAAGGAATAGTGTACCTTCAATTCCCATAAAAGAAAATGACATTTCGGAATAAACAAATCTGAATATTCCAAAAAAACAAAAAACAAAACAAAGAACGTGTTAAACGATAGTCTGACAACACAAAAGTGCAGCAAAACAAAGCTCTCTTTAGGAATTTCTACAGCTGCAAAGACAGAATGTTTCTGACACACAAGGCAAACATCGCTATTTTTGCCACAGCACAGCATAATCCAGCGGTGGCACTGCAAATGTATGAAATTGCTCATGAGATTACTGGGAGAGTACTTTGTAGCACTAAAACCACACTTAATTAATGACTGCCTACACTACTGTGAAACAGTCTTACTGGTCCTACTGGAAAACCTAGATGTCCCACATTAAAACACAATAGCGCTGTGCCTTCATTTGCTCATACTGCACAGTGTATACAAGTAGATGTACAGCCATCTATTCATTTCTATTTTATATTCTGTGTCAGAAGTGAGAAATACTGGATTTAAAGGCAACAGGTCTCAAGGCACAGCATGTCCGATTTTTATTGGACCCTTTGTTAAAACTAATAGTGAGCTCTTTACGCTCATATCTATCACGGACAAGGGCATTTTACCATAGTAAATCTAGCATAAAGGGCTAAAGGATTGTTTGGTGAATGCTGCAGAACTTCAGTCAGTACTCACTGAAACAAAGTAAGGCCCAGCAAAGTCCCGGATGACTCCAGTGGAAGTACAGATACCCATGTGACCAATGAAGGGAAACAGCCATCTGAGAGAAACAATAACAAACAAACAAACAAACAAACAAACCTGCAAAGTTACCATCACCACATTGAAGTACTATTTAAGAGGGCCTGACTGCAAACGTTGAGATTACACAAGCCAATACAAACACACACACAATTTGATTAGTGTATTATTTATTAGTAATATCACTGAAAATAAAGGCGATAGTATGAGTTTTAAAGCAACTGCGTTGTGATATTCAAAGTTTCAGTAAGATATACTTTCGCAGAACTATAACACTGATGACCCAAAATCCTCAACGGCTGACTTTAAGCATATCATTTAATAGCTGGCATGTTTACCATTTTGTTTGCTTCGTATCTGTGATCCAAATATCTGCATATTTATATTTATTCGTACAAACATCTTCAGTTTAAACCGTGTTCATTAAATGTAACAGTTCTTCGTGCACAGCTGTAACTTAGACATTTGTTAGCAGCGAAGATAATCTAATATAAATCGTTTTAGAAGAAGGGCAGCAACAGGAAGGTACTGTGCGTCTGCTAGCTAGCTAAGCTACTGCTGTCACCTCGTGCGATTTCTGGAGCATTTAGCCAAAAAGCGATAACTCACGATAACACGGGGATAGGTGTCCACACTATACAGTAAGGATAGCGACTGGCCTCCGGGTTAATTTTCTCCGAAGCTATGTGGTAATTCTTCATGCTCTCTTTTTCAACATCCGCCATCACCAGCTGTGGACTATGAACTTCATTTGTCCCACCGCGTCAAGCTACCCGGATACTCAGCGGAAAACAAATCTTACTGTCAAAATAAAACACTACATCTACTTTTAGTTTGGCAAAAATCGTAAAGACGGCATCAGTATCAACAGATATGCTAAATTCACTGACATTATCGCCACATCTGAGAAAAATAGAGACAGACTAAAAGCGCAAAGCACTTTTGTAAAAGTTACATCGTTTACTTTGAAAGGTTCAACCGGAAGCGCCTTCTCTTATTTGATGAGACTTCACTATTCTAGCTTTACTATCCTGTTGGATTCGTGACAGCAGTTGTTTCCGGGATACTTGTATGCCTATGAGGAATCAGTCACCAGTGGGATACGTGTGTGTTTGCACACAAAGTAAGGAAAGTTGTGTTTGGTCGATTATTTGTTCTAACAATGCTTCTTGGCAATCTTAATCTTATGCTGATGGAAAGTCGGTTTATTTCCCATTAAATGGTTACACACTTATAAGGAAAATGCATTTTTGTGAGTATGTGTATTATATTATAAAACAAAATTTAAAAACATAAAATCCCCACACAAACTGGGATCACTAACTTTTCTGAAAATGTACAACCGAAGAAACGGGTATCGTGGAAATGTTTCTGTTTTTATTCCATTATTATTTCCTTTATTGACAAAAAAAAACATTTATTCCTTTTATTTTTTCACCATTTTCAAAGTGGATACAGCCCATAAGTGCTTTACTCAAGAAAAGCTCCCCGAGTTGTACTTACAGTTTTTAACACTCATCTGAGAGCAGGGTGTGGGCAAGAGGTGCTGAAAGGGGGAAAAAGAGGTGGTCGTCAGGGAAACCAAGATAATAAGAGCCGAAGAAGATAAGAACGTGTGCGCGCATGTGAAAACCTATAGTATTAAGGTTATAAAAACATGAAAAGGCTTAATTTTACACTTAACACAAGCTAATCATTTAATCCAACTCAATGGGAAATGGTACAGCTAGCTCCCATGGTCCCTGTTTCTCATTCTGTTTCCCTGTTTCTGCAGCCCCTAATCTCCTCAGTGTGTTCAGCTGTTGCTAATTGGCCACGCCTAGTCAGGTGTGGATAAAAGCATACCTGAGGCAGGCTTTCAGGGTAGGCTCGCTAGCCCTTGCCTTGGTAGTACCAGCTATTTTAGCCAACTTGCAACGCATTTTAAGATAGAACCTCTTCTCACCTAAATTCTGGTGTCCGTCTCCTTATTTATGTTGCGGCTTTTGAGCCGGGTCGTAACACTCATGAAAATGCCATAAAATGTCAACACAAGAAACAGGTAGATGTGTGGACACGTTTTGCATTTGATGTCAAGAAAAGTAAGATGCTTTGAAAACTGTGTGGATGACTCTCACTAGTAAAAACACGCCAAACTGTTACACCTACACTGTTAGTCAACTGAAACACTATAATCTTATGCTATTTAACTGAGTAAAACTATAAGAACTTAGATGCCTAAATTATGACTGAAACTAAAAACTGTTTTAGTCAAAACACTCAAATTAAATCTAAGTTTTCCATCTCAAATTAATTGATCCTGTGGAATGAGTTTTATACAGTGTGTGGCTGTGGATAAATATTTAGAAACATCCTTCAAAAGCAGTAATAGCCAAACCTTCCGCTTAGAGGAGAGATATGATAGGGCAGAAACAAGACGATGATGATGATGATGATGACACCACTCCTTTTGAAGGGGCAGAGAAAACATTTTTGTGAGACTTACAGATTTTCACTCATCCTTCCATGACCTTTTGGGCATATTTGTACCTGCTCTGTGTATCTAAATTACTTTGTAACTTTGGGGAACAAATACATTCACTCAGACTCTTTAAGACTTTGCCAACAAAACTTCCCAGTTTTGAGTCAAATAGGTCCGTTGTTATCATCCAAATTCAATCTCACCACAAAGGCTTTAATGGAACTTCTATCCTGTTTATTGCAAAGGCCTTTATTTGTTTCCATGCCAGCGCACAGAAACCCTCCAGCACTGTGGAGGTGGAGGGCTCCAGCTATTGAAGGAGTTATCTATGGCAGTGGTGGAAATGGAAACAAAGATGAACCCAAGGGATCCACCAGGGCTCTCTGTACTCTATACTGGGTCCCATTAGATGTGACAGGTGATAAATTGTGCGAAGGGCAAAAACAAACTACTCAGCAAAAGCAGGCAGACGTTGATAAAGGAAGGCACACTGGGCTCATCATTGGGGAGCTGAGGGAATTCTCCGGCAAAATGCCACCTCGATTTCTGGCTGAGCCATCCAACCCAATTAGGCCTGGAGACGGGCTGCTTTAGGGACTGTAACTCGGTGACACAGTATTCTTTTCAGTCATAGGTTTGGAAAGTAAAATGTCAAGCATCCGATAGTTTCCAGTTCAGCTCCCCGGACAGTGGTTACACATCCAAGAAATGACAAGAGGGTCTAATTACACACTTTTAGAAACATATTTAGTTAGTGAAGTCTTCTGAAAGGATGTGTAAAAAAAAAGAAAAAGGAAAAGAGGTTAAAATGTGTCCTTTTTATTGGCTAAGAGTGTAACTAGAGAGAGGAAAACACTCCTTGCTTTCGCTTTGCAGCAACACAGGGCTTTCCCTCATTGTTACTTTACAGTCACAAAAGCGGAAGTGCTGGTCAGACACACACGCACACAAACCTACTTCTTACAATCAATCAGTCCACTCATTGAGTGTAATTTGCTGAAGTGGGGATATTGATATCTTTTTTGATATTATATGAAGGCTCACATTTTTAGGTCTGTTTGTTTTGGGGGCTAAAGTCCCAAATATCTTTGCTCGCTGCACACAGTATGTAGCACTTAGTTTGTTGTGATATGAATGACTGACTGAAGAATCGCTGGTACAGCAGAGCTTAAAGTACAATGATGAGGGGGTTTACTTTTAAAAAGACTTTGATATGAGCTGAGTATGAGGTCAAATGCATTGTAGTTGTATGCAAATCTTTCCTAAATCACAATTTACACTGGATTAAATTAATCCACACTTCACTAAACACACTGCATCTTACTGCAGGCTTACTTAATAAGACCAGACTGGTAATGATGTTCAGAAGAAGGAGTAAATCCAAATGGCCTGGTGGAGGAGTACAAGTATCTGACGCTCCACAGCACTTTCTCACTTTCAGTACCGCTGCCATAAGGACACAAGCAGGAAATCTTCCATACCTCATGCAATAATGCTCTACAGTGCAACATATGTGAATAGCAGACTCCTCTGTTCTTCTGACAGTGACATCTGATTTTTTCAAAACTAAATCAAGTAACTCACTTAAAATTCAGCTTTTGTTTTTTGTTTTATTTTATCATTATTTTTATTATTGTAATTATTAGTGCATACCCATAATATAGTACAGTTCAGCTGTAAAATAAAAATTATTGTAATGGTTTCATAAGGTGCTATTGTTGCATAAATGTAAATAAATACATAAAATTGTTGCCAAATGACATCATACCATCTGCTATAGGTAAGAGCCTTGAGAGGCCTGAGACCAACCTGTGTGCCTAGTTTTGTTGCTTAAATCCTGATTGTGCAGCAGGAATTGTTGGACAATGAAACAAACACACAGATTATTATAGGAAGATTATGGGGTGTCATATTAACAGTTATTAACAGCTACAAGACTACACAGCTACACACACACACACACACACACACACACACACACACACACACACACACACATATATATATATACACACACACACACACACATATACACACACACACACACATATATGATTATCAGCTGGTGCTTGCAAGGTTTGTGTTAATTTGAGTTTACATTTTTGTCCACTAGATGTCACACTATTCTAGTTTTACAGGAGTCTACTTTTTCTTAGTACATTATTAGGAATGTACTTCTGCTTTTGACTCTTTTCAAATTTAGTTCATATTCTCCTTTATACACAATGTAACTGCCATATTAACGTAAGTGTTTTTGTCCAAATCCATGTCTTCACTATGTCCGATATGCCTTTGAAAATGTTAGAATCCGCTTTAGTGTAGCAATGCAACAACTTTTCTCCACCCTTACAAATGATTTTTAATAAAATAAAAGTAGCAAGTATCAATATAACAAAATAAACTCCAATGTAACAGCATCAAAAACAGACAATGTTAACGTTAACTGAGAGAATGTTAGAGCGTGGGGGGAAAAAAGTAGAAACAGGGAGTATGTATTACTAAACGAGTGTGGTTAACAACAGGAAGTGTGCAAATACTTCTGTGAGAGATAAACAGTGAGAAGGAGGGAGTGGCAAACATTGTAGTCTTTACAAATTTTTTTATCAGCACACTTAGGTCTATATTTAAAACTGTGAAGAGGAACAGGGTTACTGCTGATGTGTCTGTAACACTAAAAGACACTCTGCTTGCTCAAGTAAATGTAGATGAAGTTACACACACATGTTATGGATGTTATGTGAAAGATTAGAGCATGAGTACAAATTTACAGTTCAAATACTGCTCAAGAAAACACATTTTTAATGGAATTAGAGACAGATTCTTTCTCTCTAACTAGAAAAAGTTGCATTTCCTGCAAAAGTGCACTGTGAATGCTGTGCAGTGGAATCTGAAAACAGCAGAAGAAGGAGAACTATCTGCTGAAAACACTGTGTACAAGCTGAACTCTATGCAGAAATCTGCTTTATATGAAAGACTAGACTGAAGAGTGTCAAGAAAGCAGGGAAGATGTGCAGCAAATGTCACATGTTGGGTTTGAACCTTTGCCACCAGATCTTACGGCGGCGATTCATCCCACTGAGCCAAACCAGCTCTGGTCTCAAACAATGATATGATGAGAGAAAAAATGTGCACTGTGCAGAAGAAGCTAAATTGTGCTGAAAAGAGGTGAAAAAGCTGAAAATTGTGCTGAAAAGAGCAGAAGTGACTGAAAATTTTGCTGAAAAGGGGTGAAAAAGCTAAAATTTGTGTTAAAAAGAGTAAAAACAGTTAAACTGTTAACTGAAATAAATGTTGCCATAAGGGGGATTC